AGACAAGTCCTGGAAAGCAACAGCAACTCAAGAATCAACACAACAAAATTCTGAAAATTGAATTTTTTTTTTACTTTCTCTGGATGACAGCCACTGATAAGCTATAGGAGTTGGAGCATCAAGTGATTAAGGCAGCATTTTAGTTTTTCAGAAGTATCAGAACTATCAACTTTCTTTGATAATACTCCAAAACTGTCTTAAAGACCTAAACAAGGATGCAGGCCATATCACATTCAGTATTTAACAAATAAAGAAGTCAGTCCATATCCTGAAAAAAAACTCAGTTTCACCAGGTATCAAAATCAAGGAGTAATACAGAAACCATGAAACTGCAAACTTCAGACTTGTAAAATGTTACACTGTATCTCAATCATAAAACAGTCAGATTTGCAGTCCCTTCTACTGCAAAAATCTCTGAACGTTTGTTGCACTAGACGAGTAAAGGAGACAGAATTTCATCCAACAAAGTCAATCAATACCAAAATATCCATTAACTTTGATGAGTAAAGACTGAAAATACTGAGCAATTCTTAGTATAAATTCTATTCCAGACAAGACATACTGTATTACGTACACAAGGCACTTGTGCATATAGCATCATATTATGCTAACTGAAGATCATAGTACTTTGTTATGCTCAGCAATAAACATTATTGTGACATTTATTTACCTGTGGATTCAGTTTACTAGCATTGAAGCATTATTAAAGTTCAAACACCATGAAGCAAACACGCAATCCATTTATTAAACTCTTGGCATAATGCTCTTAAATCTGCTAGTGAACAGGCCGGTTTGGTTATGTCAGGATCCTTTTATTTAAAATGGTAAGTCATCACTGCTACAAATATTTGGCATTATTTGTTTACGCAAATGATATAAGAGCATCTGGAGCCAAAACAACCATTCCTTCAGACAAATCCTCCCTGGCCCTAGGTCCATCCAGCCAACAGTTGAGGGACGGGTTCATTGTGGCAGATTCTATCTTGTTTTTCCACACAATTTGTTTATTCATCCACTGAATTGTATGACCAAGCTGAACTTTATTCCAGGGTTATTTACACCGGGTAACATCCTTTACACCTTACCCTTACTGCCATTTCAGCTAGCCTGAGGCTTGAACCTATTCATGCTAGCACTGACCTTTCATTAGGCTCCACTTTCGGCTACGTGGTTGCAATTTCCCTTACGCAATATCCCAAGGTACTACATGTTTCTGCCTTTGTGCTCCATCAGTTTTGTTGTTCAAACCTCCCCATATTTTTTGCTAGGCAGGAAACCACCAAACATTTTATAGGTCCTGGCATCCCGTCAGCAAAAACAAAACACTTCACCTCTACCATGACATTTGATTTCTGTGAGACGTGTTTGACGTGGGGGTTGTTTTGGGAAGTTACTTCTCTGGACACTTGTGTCCCTGACACTCGCTCGGCTCTGCCTCGGCTCTCCCCAGCCATCCCAGTCTGTGTCTCATCGCTTCTGCCTTCGACCTCGGGCCGGCAGGGCTGAGGTTTGATGCTGTGCCTCTCGAGAAGGGATCAGCAGCAAAGCTGGCCCTGCCCTAACGCACAAACAGAGATTTGTCATCAACCAGCAGGAAGAATTTCATCCTTCTGGTGTTTTCTTACCACCCCTTCCCCCCTCTGAAATTTCCTAGGCCCGGTTTTACCTTGCTAAGCCTTGGGAAGGCTCCTCTGACTCCTTAACAAAGTCCTGATTCAGGTCAAGAGCAGAGTTTCAACCGGGGGAGGAGGGGAAGCAAAATAAAAAAAAGCAATTTCCCAGAGCAGCCAAAGCCCAGAGGACAGAGGGGCCGCCGAGCGGGAAAGGGACGGCCCGGGAGAGATGTAGTGTCCACGGCGAGGAGCCGCTGTCCCCCGCGCAAGGCACCCTCCGCCGCCGCCGGGGCTGAGCCCCCCGGGACCCGCAGCCCCGCCGAGGCGAGCCGTGCCCGGCCCCGACCCGC